TAGCAAAAATAACCGTGTGTTTTATTTTCCATCAAGGAGGGAAAAAACTAAATAGAAAAATCGTGAAAGCATTAAGATGAACTATAATTTTTGTTTGTAAATACTTTTAAGCATGTAAGTTTTCTCACGTCCTCGCGGAAGTGCAAAAATACAAAAAAAAAAAAAATCGCATATCTTAACATTCGATAATAGTAAAATTACTTGTAAGTAATTACTAGTGAAGTTATTCATAAATTTAACTATATTTGCCATTCATATATTTTTCGCTTACGTGTCATAATTTTCGTCCTAACAAATGCTACAAAAGGCAGGCAAAAACTACGCGAAACGTACATGAATATTCCAGTCTTCATGAATGAATAGGAATCCGTCTTGATCACGACGATTATCTTTTTACTTTTATTAATTACGAATAATGAGAAATAATCGACACAATAATACCATGTGGCTGCACGGTGTACATTGACTAGAGAATCATAAAGATTGCGGCTACCTCGCGCTTATCGATACACAAAGTACCATGTGGCGTATCACAACGAATCTATAATTATATGTATATAATATGTATAAATTAATCGAACGAAGCTTACAACGCGCGACGCTTCGTACAATATTTACACGTTTCTTTACAGACTTTGCTGGAACGCATTGAGAGAAATTTCCTACTTCGGTACGAGACCTCTCGTCTTCGGATAAACGGGCGCTGGGATTTGTGGGATCTTTCCAACGCTCTTAGGTCGCAATTTCGTGGATGGTATACGCGGTTTCGATCGAAGCTTCGCGTTCGACGCATCCACGTCAATGTCCCCTTCGTCTCGCAACGCTTCCTCGAGAACAGCTTGGATCGTTGGTGCGATAGCGGGTCCTTGATAGTCCAGCGTTGTTCTAGCCGGCATATCTAAGTCGAGGTTCAATATATTTTCGCCCGCATAACGACTACCTCTTCCCATGGCTAGAGCAATTCGAGCATATTCGGAGACTGGCCTACGAGCACCAGGAATCGACGTCGGCCTCTTTATCAAGTCTATGCTGGATGGTTCCGGATCTTTTACTATCCAACAGTCTTCCTCTTCGTCGAGGTGAATCCTCGACAGAATCTTATTCTTCTCTTCCTCGGGAATGAAGTTCTCTATTATAAGATACTTCAGCTTTAGCTCCTTCATTAGCTCGTGTTGAGTTTGTTCCAGGTCTCGTCTGTCTCTGTTGAAGTCGTTAGTGACGTCCTCGAGCTCTTGTTTGAGAACTTGTAACTTGTTGAAGCACTTCCTGAGCTTCCTCGACTTCACATCCACTTCTTGTTGCAAATTCGAATAAGTCTCTTTCACGCCTAGCATCGTCAGTTCCTCACCCTCTAATTTCTGCTGCATCTCGACCTCTCGTTTCTTTCTCTCGGCTATTTCGGCCGCCTTCTGTTCCAGTGCTCTCTGTTGCTCGTTGGTATGATCGATGATATTCTTGCCACCGCAAAGCATTTTGCTTTCCAAATCCTTAATTCTCATAATAAGCGTCTCAGTCTCTTGCTTCTCAGCTTTCAATTGTTCCGCGATCAATTTCTTATCCGTCTCCATTTTATTGTCCTCCCCTCGACTGTCCTCCGCTTCGGACTCCGAATCTACAGCTTCGTCTTCCTTTTTCCTCTTCGACTTCTTCTTCCGCTTCTGGACCATACCTTTCTGCGCCAGCTTCTCCTTCAATCGGCCAATCTCTTCTTGATACTGTCTCAGTAGAGCGTCCTTCGGGTCTTCGTTTATCTTTGGCTTATTCTTGATGTTCTTCGCCCGATTCGCATACCTTAGCGTTGTTAAAGTCTCGTCGTAATTGTAACTCGCCGGTCCGATGTTCGCGACCATGATCGTCTTCGAGTTCCCGCCTAAGGAGTCCTGTAGAAGCCGCGTTAACTTCGAATCTCTGTACGGCACGTGAGTGGTTTTCCCATCGACCAGGGCCGAGATTACGTTCCCTAGCGCCGACAGGCTCAAATTAATTTTACTCGCTTCCTTCAGCCTCTCACCGGAGGCCCCGGTCTTGCTCTGCCTTTCACTGCCCGCCAGATCGACCAGATTCAAACGACCGACCCTGATTCCGCCGCTATCACCGATCGATCCCATTTCAATGGTGATTAGAAATATCGCGTGCGACCTAGAACTATGCTCGTTCATATTCGTAGCGCCTATGGTTCTATTCTGATTTCCAGTGTTCATCAGCTGTTGAATCTCAGCGGCGCTTTTACACACCGACGTGGACAGATCCTTCACGAATACACCGGTATCCGGTTTCTCTTTCAGCTCGAATCTGAGACTCTGATCCGGCTGTAGAAGGTCGCGGATCTCCTCCTGATATATCTCAAGGTAACTGGCCCTCACCAGATACTGCATGTTCTCTGACCTGCCAATGTGATTAAAGATATGCTCGAACGAGCGTGGAATCACACCGCGTCTCTCGTGGTCGTTCTTCAGGCCCTCCATCGTGTACGTCTTCCCCGTCCCGGTCTGGCCGTAGGCGAAGATCGTGCCGTTGAAACCGTCGAGGACCGAGGAGACCAGCGGCCTCACCGTCTCCTCGTACAGATCTTGCTGGCTGGAGTTCCAGTCGTAGACTGCATCGAACGTGAAGACCTTCACGTTGTCGCTGGACGGGTCGTCCCGCGGGTGACGAATCTCGACCACTCCCCTCGAGGGGAACACGTCGACCACTCGCGTGTAGCCACGAACCAGTTCCTTCTCGTCCATCGGTCGGCAACGCACGACCACCTGGACGCACTGCGTAACGACGTCCGCCGAGCTGCTCGACTTCATGCTCTTCTTTTTCCAGGCTTTCAGTTGGTTGTCCGACTTGTCCATGTCGACCGGCCGGTACACCGCTTCACCTGGAAAAAACGCGATAGTGAGACTTGACACTCGAGCCACGCACACAACTGCCTCGCAAAATCAATACCCGATCCGTCGATCCGTTGCAAAACCAGGGGAATTGCGAAATAATCGTGTCGTAAGAAAACGATTCTCTTGTCTGTGGATAAAGGAGAAATTTTATTCAAACGGTGTGCGGTTTGTTTCTGCGATTGTCGTTAATGTCGAGAAATGACGAACGAGACGCCGGTTGACGTAACTGTTCGCACTTGAGCGACTTTTATTAATGTGTAGGACGTATGTACATACGTACTGTGTAGAATGGTCGTTGATTGATCGAAACACAATGTTTGTTTCGCCCCCTCCGAGGCATAATTATTCCTTTCCATTAACAACAATGGACGAGGGCAAACCTGTATGCTACTCAAATTTTTTGCTTCTTAATTATGAATTGGATGATACTAAAATACTTTTAGCAAGATACTGGAAATTTTGCAGCAACGCGAGATTTCCGCTATCGATTTCGTTACCATTCGGCGAGAAGCTTTCTTGACTTTTTACTTCGGCTACTCCCCGACTAGATATTCTGTCATTTTTTAACGAAAGTTCGTGCACATAAGCCTTAAAAAACATTGCGCGACACGTTCTGAACACGTCGCGATTACATATTCTCTCTAAGAGTGTGCACTCACCTTTCAGAGTTCTCCGGGATGAGAAATTTCGCGCGATGCGAGATGCACGTTACTATAATGGAAAGACGATTTTTCGTCGTATTCGCATGTTACCCTTGTCCGCGAAGTATTGATCCATTGTTTGTTCTCCCTCAGGATTCACTCTAACGATACGCGGCTCTTTTTTATTTCCACTCGTTCGAACGGTTCTGATACGTGGGCGGCTGCGAGTTTCCACTTGGACCGCGGCTCGATGCTCGAGTGAGTCGTTAGAACGATCGGCGATACATCGCGTTAAAACAGAAACAACCGCTTCATATTTTGACAGAAAAAAGAAGGTATTACGATCAAGCGTGCGCAGTAGACTCCCCTCACTGGTTTCTATGGACGTACTGAATCGATCTCTCGCTTAACCATTGGATATGTTCTTCGAGATAGTCGCATCGTTGTTAAAGTACGAAAGAAATTTACTTTATCGATACAGGAATTGCATTTTTATTTTTTGAAAGAGACAATGATATTGATACAAATTTAATTCGCATTGGAAGAGTCGATCGATGTAATATTGCTTGATAAATACTATGAAATAAATAATAAATATTTTTATAACATTCTGTTTTTTCTTTTTTACTTTTTCCATCAAATTACGCACGAACGAAACAGTATACATTTGATTGTTTTATTGAAGAATTATTATATTGTGTGTAACAAATATTTCATAATTGTAAATATCATTATTAAAATATCATTCTGACGTGTAACAACGGATTTTCGATCAAGGAAATGACGTTTAATTCTTAGCTGTGTGGCGTGCAAGTCACCTCCTCGAAGAGTGCTATGACTGCTTACTTATTACAAACATTATTACATTTAATTATTAACTGAAATCAATGTTGGAAAGTTGGAAGTACTTTATATAAATTTACAGTGAAGTTAGTTCAATATACCAAGTCGTTAAAAACAAACGTTTTTCGTATAAAATCATTACGATGAAAAATTTCTCGTATTAGCCTGAAAAATTTCTCGTATTAGCCTGAAAAATTACTCTTGAAAGTTACTTATGTAATTATTTTGATAATAAATTGTCTAAATTTACTCATTTCAAACAGAATAAATACAGGATTTTATATATATATATATATATACTTTTAAATAGTTCGTATCAATATTCTAATTCTTTGTTACTGTTTTGTTTCAGACAAAATGAAATTGTGGTTAGCTGTAGTTCATATCATCTTGGTTGCAACTAATATATGGGTCACAGCACATTTTCATGAAGAGCTTCCCGAGGACAATGAATTTGCAGAATTTGAAGATTTTGAAGAAGAAAAGAACGAGCTAACACAAACGATCAATGATCGTGGTACAGAATATCTTAAAGAATTGAATAATAATAATGAAGATTTCGAGGAGGAAGATGTTCTAATTATGGATGGTGACAGCGAATTCGATCATTTTCAAGATGAAGAAGAATTTGAAGGTTTAGATGCAGCTGGAGGAAATGCTGGACCAAAAAGTGATGAACCTTCTACTTTAACAATCACAAAAATACCGCTTCATCTGCGTGCAAGATGGGATAGCTTTTACTTAGAGATACTAATGATCATTGGATTATTAGTATATTTCATTAATTATGTAGCAGGACGCTCTAAAAATGCCAATATAGCAGAAACGTGGCTTATGGAGCATAAGCAACTTTTAATGGATAATTTTTCCCTTATTGGCGATACAGGAAAATCAACTGAAGATATGTCTGAAAATGGCTTGGTGAAAGAAAGTCAATCTCATTATAGTTTATATTGTTCAGGAAGAGTTGGATGTGATTCTATGCTGATAGAATTAAAATTAATTAAAAGGCAAGATTTAGTTGCAGTATTAGCGCAGCTAGTGAGGCCTCAGAATGATCAAGCCCATATACGTGTAGAATTAGCAAAAGATGAAACAGATAATTTCGTATTAGCAGTTGCCACAAAAAGAACTGCAATGCATTTAATACGTGATATGGCTGATATTAGTGTTTACTGTCCAGAAAAGAGACTAGGAGAGAAATTTGGTCTTCCATCAGGCTTTTATGTAATGTCTGAAATTGCTGAAGCAGCGTCAGCTATTTTAGATACAAGAGTTTTACAAACATTTTCAAAATTTTCACCCTATATAGATTATATATATATTAGTGATCAATTTAGTGGTCCAAAACAACAAGAGTAAGTATCAAATACATTTGTATATTAAAAATACTGCTCTTCTCGCTTCTCTGTTGTGATATTTCATTTTTCATTTCATTTTAGAGATACAACTCAATTAACAATGCCTGAAGTTAAGAGAGTTTTACTTGTTGGACTAAATATAAGTATCAAAGGACGTATTACTAATGCAGAAGGCCAAGAGAAATTAAAACTCCTTTTACAATTAACGTTCTATTTATTAGATAAATTGCGCCGTTTTAAATTATCTAAAGAGGTATATATATGTATATATACACTTCATAATTTTAATACATTCCTTCGTTATGTATTTAATTTTTATTTTACTGTTAGGGTAAAGGGAAAGCAGATAAAAATAGATTAAGAGTAGAAGAAGCATTCTTAAAAACAACTCATGCAGCTAGAGCTGAAGCAGCTGCACAGCGAAGAGAAGAACGTCGTAGAGCTGAGAAAGAACGTATGTTACAAGAAGAGGATCCTGATAAACAAAGAAAGTGGGAAGAAAAAGAACAACGAAGACTCGCCAAAAAGCGAGCACCTAGAATGAAGCAGCTTAAGGTGAAAGCATTATGACCAAATAAAGTTAATCATAAAAAATTGTTGAAATTTTTGAAGAGCTATAATTTGCTCAATTGAACTGCCCATTTAATTTAGGGCGATTATAAGATGATTATTAAATGTATATCCATGTTTGGGGTGATAAATCTACGTAATAAAATAAATAAAAATGTCATATGAATTTATATTCTACGTATTTATATCCTAGTGTTTGAGTTATAAATGATTTAAGGAAATATTCAATATGTACAGCTTGTGTCTCAGTGCATAACTCCAAAATAAAAATATACAAAGTAGGACATAGATTCATATGACATTTTTTTACGTATTTTAATGTATAAATTCACCACTTAAAAGATGAATGTACATTTAAAAATCATCTTGTATAGTGAAGCTGTTTCATTTCAATCATATTTACGCATTTCTTATAGCTACCAAATTTTCATTGAATAGTTTTTAATTATCGCAGAAAATTATGGTAAATACTTAAACTTGTTTGAAATAAAAATACTTTTATATTTTTTTATTTTTAATTTACGATGTATTCGTCGATTTTGTTTTCCTGTTGAAAATATATCTCATTGCTGTTATATATTTATTTTACGTCATAATTTTACGTTTATTTTACGTTTATTTTACGTTATAATTTGTCAGATAAGTCCTGAAGTCTGTATAAAATGTTATAAAGATTTTCTTAGTTTGACAGAAACAACAGCATGTTATGGAAACAATATATAGGCTGTCTCACATATAGTGCCTAATATTTAAGAGTATAAAGCTTTTTAGGGCTGAAAGAGTTGCAACCTTTAATTTTTTTTAATGAAAGGATTTATTAATTTTTTGTCATTATAATAGCTATTGCCAATCCTAACAATTTTTATTTTTTTGTATCCTTCTTAGAAAATTAGTATCTTTCTTCTTGCATCAAAAGATACCAAAATAAACACTTTTTACTATTGAATTTTATCTTGTTAAATATCTAAAGCATTTATTGAAATATTTAAGTAGTGTTTACAGACAAGTGGATAGAGCGTGGAGAACTAATTATATGGCCATCCAGATTTGAGTTCTATAGATTTTATTTTTATTTTATTTTTTTTTTATGGAACTATGCGAAGAAGAAAGTAATAGTTGAATCGCCTTGTATAAAAAGGAAGATATAAAATATAGAATAGAAAATGCATATCAATGTATATCAATATTCTGAAAAACAATAGCAGTAAAACAAAATATGATAGGAACAATAAATAAATGTCTAGAAATAAATGGACAACAGTTTGAACATTTAATAAAATAAACTTCAATAGTAAAGTATTTATTTTGATATTTTTCGATCCATTTGCATAACACTTTAGAAAACTATTTCTTACTAGAAGAAAGAAGTAAGTAATTATGCAGAATACAAAAAAGTATTTTATACAAAAGTTATTGGGATTGGCAATCCTTAATGGCCTTAATTCTTTCTTCTTCCATTAAAAAAAAATCAAAGGTTGCAATCTCTCTACCTCCAAAAAGTTCACTCCTGCAACTATTTATATTCTAGAATATTAGGCATTGAACTCTATTTAGCATGGTAAAATTTTAAATAGATATCTGCAATAGTTTTCGGAAAAAACAGCTTGTAATACTTTATATGAGACACCTTGTATATGCTTGTTATTGTAAATCTATATTATATTATATTTATATTATATTATACAATTTTTGTTGAAATCCATTTTTTTGTAGTGTAATGATCATAAGTATAAAGAATTTTTTATATATCCTTTTAATGGTAAACTATATTGGACATAGTTGGAATATTTGGAATACTTAAAACGTATTCTTTTGATTTCTATATATGTATTTACATTAATTCGACTAATTAAAATCAAATAAAATAGAGCATAAAAGATCAATGAAACAAAAATATTAAAAGTACAAGAGATAGGGATAAAATATTAGTATGAAATTTATATTTATTTATAGATTTAATATTTAACCCTTTGCACTTAAAGTATTTCTCTCAGACATTGTAAGTTTTAGTCGAAAAAGGTTCGAGTGCAAAGGATTAGTAACAGTACAATGTTAAATATTGCTTCAGTATGTATCAGTATGAACTGAATATATAAATGTGAAATTTCATTTTAAATTTTCGAATTAATTAAATATCCTAAATGTTATTCTTAAAATTTTTTCATAAACATTTTTCAAGTAAATCATTGTTATTTTATAATATTACATTTACAAAGTTCAAAAATTATGTAAGTAAGCAATGTATTGCAGCAATTAATATTACGATTATTGTTATTAAATTTTAGCAGTTATATAAGGATTTAGAATAAAAATAAAATATTTAGATTTTTAACGAAGTAATACATGAATTTATTATACTATTTATTATATATACGAGCAAATATTTCTTTAGAAGTAAAATAAATAATTTTCCATTGAAAATATGCGTAGTACGAGAATATTTTTAAAATAACTTATCACAACCGTCAAAATTGTAAATTTCATATTCAATTTGTATATACATTTGTATGTTTCAAGTATGAAATACTTCACACAGAATATTGTGAATCGAAGAATTTTCTGTTACTATTGATAACTGCCTTACAAAATAAAAAATTATTATCGGATATAAAATCAGCTATAACGATATTTAAGCCACCACGGCCAGGTCGCTTTTGATTTATCCATGGAAGAATTACTTTCTGGCACGATGGCACTAAATCTGTCTGTAATGTTCCGCACAGATGTTTCAATACATAAGAAATGTCAGGCGTTAAGAGACACTGTGATATAAAACCGATTTCTAATGGTCGTGCTTTTAATTCGATATCCAAAAAGTTTATAAGCTCGTTAACGTGAACAGTGTTGGGCCATGGAGTACGCCATAGGCCACTTGGCCACAAATTCGAATAATTTTGTGCATATGCATTTCTGTAAATAACGATAACTTGGTACTTTTCCAGATTAAGCCAGTTTAGTGTAATGTGATCAAATATAGATGCTATTGGACATAACTTTGTTTGAAATATTTGAAAAATCGTTTCAACAAGATGGCGATGATCTATTTCTGAGAATGAATAGAAATGTTGAAAATCTAAGATTACGATCTCGTTATTATGATAGGACAACCATTCAGCTATTTCCTGGAGCGGCTGATATATTTTCGATCCGTACAAGCCATGAACAAAATAGATATTTCCATCCGTTGGCTTTGTCGCTACACGTAAGTCTAGATATCGAATTCCACCGTCGAGCTGATCCTTAATGTTGTCATGTTGAGTAATAGACCAATTAAAAATAATGGGTTTTGAGACGAATGAACAATAACGACCAAGAGCTCTGATATATCTCGGCTCATCGGGCCCCACGTCACTCTGCCGGTTTATAGTGTAAGTCATCGTATCATGAGAACCTATTAGAAGTTATCAATTTATATTACATGTACTAAATTATAATTTTGAGGTCAATATAATTGTGTGAAACGGTCATCATCAATAGGTATTCTTGACGATGTGGTTTAAAAATTTAACTTGTAAAAAAACATTTTAACATAAAAGTGTTGTACACGTTGAAAGAAATTCTAAATTTTTATTTTTATTTTATTATGTCTATATCATTACAATCGATTAACATATCGACATTAATCAATTCCTTTGAATTTAATAGACTTCAATGAGCTTTTTGCTTCAAATCAGAAATATAAATGTCAATCTTTTTTAATTTCAAATATAGATTTTCATGAAGCAGGAAAATATTTTGAAACTTACCGGGTATTGCCAGATGTATTATGGGAATGTTTTTCAAAGCTTCCGGTAACTGAGTCATCCAGTATTTCAATTCCTCATTTACAGCAATGTCTTTCCGTTTTGATTTCTGTAGAATATCACTGGTCCCCTTAATTTCATGTTCCATTTTATTGTTTTGTATTGTGATGTTGCAAAAAATTTTCTAATGAATTCAATAAATATAACGAAAGGACGGAACGATGTAGGTGTACGTCACCTACATCAAATGACTCGTCAGTCGATGATCTCCATCCTTTATATCAGTTTTTCAAATTAACGTTCCCACGGTGATGTATTAATCACCTCGCACCTTCTTCCGACACAGAACTGGACGGTGCATTCATAGAACCTAACCTCATGGTCATTCGATTATTCAGCGTCCCTCTTTTCTACAATCGAGAAGTTAACTGCGGGAATGAGTTTATTAGGAAAACACGATATTGCCAACATATGCTACTAGTATTTATTTATGTATATAATGTTTAATGAATTTTTATCTATGTTGAATTAATTTTTATCCATATTTAATGGAAAATTTATAGCTTAAAAAAAAGTATTTGGCGTAAATATCACGATTGTATTAAATGATTTTAAATATAATTGTATTCAAAGATTCTTAAATTTTATTTAATGAAATTATGAATGATTATTAAATGATAAACGAAAAAATAAAAGTATAATACCATATCATGTGTTCTAAAATACTGATCATTGGAAAAAATCAGAATTTTGAATTCTTTTACAAAAATAATTTACAATTGCATAGTAAATTTTTTATTCAATCAATTTTAATTTAAATTTTAATTCAGTATAATTTTATTCTACAGTGAATTGATAAAGTCACATGTAATAAAAACATAAAAATAATAAGGCGGTCAAATTAATGAATTTCATTTGACAAATTAAATTAATGTATACGTATTGTAAGATATAACTCTTATTAATAATAACATAAAACTTTTATTAATAACTTCTTTTTTACATGTAATCAAACTTTCCCAAGAATTTCTGATTTCAAATTTCGTAATTCGATTTCCCGCTTATCGAATTAAATTTTCACCAATAGGAAATTTCCACCAATAGGAGACGTCTGTCACGCAACGTCACACGACGAGGCATTAGTCAAGTGTTAAAAGTCGTGCTAGTAGGATGTACTGCTTTTTTGTTCTTGGTATATAATATAACTTATTTATTAATTGAATGGTATTTTCAATACATATTATTAGATATATTAGTTTTGTTGATCGATATGTATTTGTTTTGTAATTTAACATTCGAGTATCTCGAATAGATAATCATTCCTTTTTCTTTAACTATCTGTTTGATTGTTAGAGAGATATCGGTAGCTTGCTGCTTGTAGCTTCAAATTTGAAATAATACAGAATTTGAATTCAATTATTGCTTTATTTTAATACAATTAATGCAATTAATACTACTTTTATTTGTTTGTTTTATATTCTTGTTTTTTTTTAATGCATATAATATTCTTTTTTTTTTTT